CTCTTTAGCTTATCTGTGCTATCCATGGTTGTTGCTGTTGTTGAGATTTCTCACGTGATGTCGTTTCTGTTATTTGATACAGTTCTTTGTTTGTGATTTTGTAGCGGTAATCGAAGAGGTTCGAAGAAGGCTGTTCCTCATTAAGACCTATTTCATTTGCTCGAACTCACCTTTTAACCACCGGTCTGAGAAAGCAGTTGTATACGGGTGACGGTTTAGATATTTCTCGGCGAGTTTGGAGTCATATATGACGCCCTTATTGTTATAACCCAGGCTGTTGGGATAAACAAAAAAGAATGAAAATATAAGACAAGTGTATTTCAACACAAAATAAAACAACATTCTCCAACAGCAACGAATGCATGGATTAAAACAAAAAATTCCACGTTCATGTCAGCTGGGCGCCATGTTCAATTCAGAAGTGGCGTGTTGGTCATCACGGACAAGGGAAGTAACTCAATTGGATTTTGAGTTTTCGCCCTTTTTAGGGGAACAAATTTAGCTTCCCCTAACACATATGAAAGTCATGGTCTGACGAGGCTATATAAGTACATGACATTAACATCAGGTTAATATTTTCGTTTTGTAGTAATTTTTGGCGTTGTGTGAAACTAACCCTTGCACAGACTATCCTGTGTTTAATTTCCTTATCTTCTCTACTCAATTTGTATAACTGATCCATATAAACTGAGGTATGTGAAGTGCTTAGTATTTATTCATCCCACATTCTGAAATTTTTATGGATTCTATCAATGTGTCATCACTGATTTCTTTCCAATTCCAAATCATATTTCTTGGAACACTTAGTAGCGAATTTTGATTTTTGTTCCAGATCATTCTAATCCCAATTATTATTGGCATCAGCAGGTAAAGCAAGAAAAATGTTTGCTTTTATTAGCAGAATCGTTGTGATGTTGTGTGGAATGCTTAAATGATTAGGGCCTATCTCTTCAGATCTGTGCTTTATATGCCTAGGAAAACAGAATAGATTCTTATTTCCTTCTGGTCATACTCCCGATGAGGTTTGAAATGTAACCGTATTGGGGTCCTCACCAAATATATATGATTTCGTGGAGCGATATACTTACTCAATCAGATATCCACATTCAGCAGTCAGAGCTTATGAGCTGATTTCTACTTGATAAGAAAAGTGAGTCTCTATTGATGTGGTTATACACTGCTGCTAATTCCATATAGCAGGTATACAATTTTCGATTGGAGGTAAGCCAAGAAATTGTATTTTTGCAGCAACGAAAACAAACAATTTCCTCGAGTTGTTTATGGCAGATATGCGATCCTTACACTCGTTAACTGATAGAAAATTAAATTGGATTGTGAAGAGATGACGTTCCTAAAACAATGAGAGTGTAGTTAATAAAATGCTCATATTATTTGCACTAAGGACCCACAATTGCATGAATCCAGGTTTGTCAAGTAAAAGTTTCCTTGATAGAGTTAATCAATATCTGGGTAACCTTATAAAAATGAACATATGTTCCAATTTCCCTAGACAAGATTCGACTCTCCCGAACGAGTCACACGTGTTCATCTAATTACACATTAAACAGAAAAAAATCGTTAAGAGGCTTCTGCAATATACTTTACTCAATGAAAGAAAATGATAAACTTTTAACGCCATCATCGATTATGTTTGTATCCTGATCACCATACATCAATTATATTGGTTTCCTGAACAACATTCATAGATTATATTTGTGCCCTGATCTCCAATAATCGATTATGTTGGTGTGCTAATCAACACTCATCGATTATATTGATGTTCTGATGATCAATCATCGAATATGTTGGTGCCTTGATGACCACATATCGATTATGCCCTGATCTCCTACTAATCGATTATGTTGGTGTCCTGATGACCATACATCGATTATGTTGATGTTCTGATTACCAATCATCGATTATACTAGAATCCTGATTACCACCCATCGATTATGTTAAAGTCCTCATCGCCACTAATCGATTATGTTTGGGTTCTGGTCAACAGAACGATTACGTTACTGTCCTGATCATCAATTGTTGATTATATTGGTGTTTTAGTCACTACTCATCGATTATTTCGGTGTCCTGATTACCATTCATCGATTATATTTGTATTCTGATCACCATTCATCTATTATTTTGGAATCCTTATCATCATTTATGGATTATATCGGTGTCCTCAGATAGCATCGATTTTCTAGAGACATTTTGAAGAATTGTACTTCTCGCCATTTTCATTCTTGTTTTTGAAATCGAGACAACACGAACTGGAAATTGCATATAAATGATGGCACCTGAAGAACCAATGTCGTTTGTCTCCTACTCTTCGCAGTGACTTTGTGGTGACTAGCTTCGGTGGAATGTTTTAATTGTTTCAACTATCGACAACGAGGAATTATACTCAGACTAAAATATTATTGGAAGGAGTATGTTATAAATATTTTTAGAATCTGAAAACGATTAGAATTTTTAAAAAATCATTTCGCGTCAAGGAAGGCGATAATGTCACTAAGACGCAAAGGAGTGAAAGGGAATGTGAAGAAATTAGAAGGAAGCAGAAACTCAGTCCTGAACAGTAAATAATGGATAAAATTCTACTCCTGTTCAGAAAAGACGTAGAAGGAGTGTGAACCGGGCCAAAAGGCGAACCTATCTACTCCTATTCAAATATTAGAAATAAATATTTAAGAGTCTTAGCAGAATCAATTGATGATGGAACAACGGATCATAGACATATTGAATTAGAATCTACTTGACCTTTATAAATCAGGTAGAACTTTGAAAACAATCAGTGGTACATCCTTCATAACATACCCTAAAGAAAGAAAAACACTTTTTTTTACTAAGTTTTAACCGTGAGCAATATATGGAGATACTATTAATAGAAAGTCTCTTTACATGCTGATTAGAAAATAGTAAAGTATTTGAAGAAGTTGGTGACCTGAAATGTGAAAAACGAGGGGAAATTCTACTTTTGTGCTAAGTTTTATTTTTGCAATCTTAAACTTCCTGATTCATTGTTTGTAATCCTGACTATAGTTTCGTAGATAAGATGACAATGAGCAGGTTTTCTTAATTAAAATATCCATGCTTCACATTAAAAATATGATTTTGGACATGACAAGTCTCCACCCTATATTATTTAAAGTAATGAAAAATTCCGATTTTTATTCCTCATTGGCAAACTAAGAAATTATTAGTAGATTATGAGTTGTTTCCCAAGTAAACTTAGCATTTAATATATTTAAACGCACAATCGCTAAAGAACTTGCTTTATAGATTAGTGTTCCACCAACAGAATTATTGTAGAACAAACTTACGTTGTTTTTCTTTAGCCTGAAATGCACAGAGCGACAATAAAAAGAGGTAGAAAAGAGCCAAATTATTATAAACGAAGCTATAAAATAGAATAAAGAGAACAAAGGGGTTTCATCTGGAGATCAGACAAATCTTCTTTAATCAAAGCGTGGGAGTAAGGATGCCCTTTTCTGAAAGAAGCTTACATTCAAAAAATGATGGCGCAGTCAAAACACTCAGCTGAAAGTGATTTCATTTCCGGCGCTAATTTTTGCCCGGAGAAAAACTGCGGAAGTCGAGAAGTAATGAGAATGGAACGGGCTGCTAATGTCTGAACACGTGACTATCTCACCAATGCGCAAGATGAGATTGATCTGGCTGCGTTTGTTTTAGTACCAGACATGTAGATTCGAAAGTATTGTTTACATGATTATTATTCTTTTCAGAGTCAATTACACGTGATTTATTTAAAGAGCTTGCAAAATATTGTTGATTTTTTCCAGAACAATAAAGCAAGTAAGTTCCATGCATAGATCTGGGCCTCTACTCAGAATAACAAACTATTGAATAAAGATTATTTGTGTCTGACGTCATGAAACATATTAGCAGATAACGTTTTTAAAGCAGAAAGAATAAACCAAGCCGCAAAGCATTTAATTCTAGTCTCGACACAGAAAAAACAATGCATATACTGATTAAGTATTCTTTATAGCAATCTCTTTCTTGGAATAAAACAAATCTTGAGAAAGGATTTGTATTCGATTTAACTATAAGCGAGAAAAGAGAAAGACATTGAATTTAATTAAAAGCAAATGGAGAATAACCTCGTAAAGAAAGTACGGGGACATAAAATCTGAGGCCATATGCTGATAATGTGAGCGCATGTGTGCCTACGTAAGGAGCAATAAGCACGCGCACGCACACACACACACACACACACATATTACTTCAAACGTTATTATAGTGGATACTTGGTATAAATAGACGCCTCCATTTTATTTATTATTAACGCTTATTGTCCTGCACATACACCAAAAAATCTTAGTAAAGAAAAAGCGTTCTTCGGCATGGATCGAACCTGGATCCTTCTTTGTCAAACGGTAAAGGGAAGTGCAAATTCCATCTCTCACGAGGAACTCACTTTCTTTACTAGGATTTCTGTACTGTTTAATAAATAAAAATGGGGCTTATATTTAAGATACGAAGTATCCACTATAATAACATTTGAACTAATAAAAGACATCGGATTAAAATAAATAAATTATTTAGAAATCTCTCTCTCTCTCTCTCTCTGTCTATATATATATATATATATATATATATATATATATATATATATATATATATATATATATATATATATATATATATATATATATATATATATATATATATATATATGGGGCGGCATATTGGGTTCTCATTTTGTAAATTGGATATTCAGCTTACACTGTTTCATGAAAGCATATGTACATATATAGGTAGATAGAATTGTAGATTCAGTCTTTCTTAAAGTATCTTTACTGAAAGAAAATGTCTCTAAATATATGAACAATCATGGAAAGATATTTTCTTGATAAAATATTTACTGGAAATGGATAGCCAAATGGTTAGCATTCCAGTCATGAGACATTGGTTGGAATCTCACTTCAATTTCAATTTCTCTGAATTCTTGATAATAATGACCCCAACATGCAGCAGGCTTACGGCCATATCAAGTTTAAACACCGGTTTTCGCCCGATCACCGAAGTTAGTCAAAGTCGTACCTGGCCAGTACCTAGATGAGTGAACACTTGAGAATGCCAGGTGATGCAAGTTTAGATGTACGGGTGGTATAATGGATAAAGGCTTGAAATTGGGAATCGCAGAGCCGAGTTCCAATATCATTTAAGTTCGTTAGATTTACTTATGCGCATAAATCACCTTTTCTCACCCAACTATTGGTTAAATGGTAGTAAAATTATCAGTAAAATCTTTATTACCTCCAAATATATTCTTAAAATCTGAAAATATTTTGTGGCTTTCCGCAAAAGGGGTTGATAATCCGTGAAATACCAATCAATCAAACTAACTTGGGATACTGTTGGAAAGTTTGTGAAAACAACATCATAGTTTGAACCAAACTGTGTCAGTGAAATTGAGTCGATGGTCTTCAGTATTCTTGTTGATTGTACTAACATTGTGGAATGATTTCAATTCATCCTCGCTCATTTCTTCGAACTTTTATGCAACGTTCTTCAAAGCTAATCCAGGTACGCCTACAATCGTTGGCATAACTGTCAACTTTTGATTTTGAAATGTACAAATATTTACACACATTTTGCACCCTCAGTTTTTTTTTTATCTGGAATGATGTAGTGGATTAAATTATACATATTCTCTATATTGTTGTTCACGATGACGAGATCTCCAGGTCAAGATGTGAAGGTCAGTTTGACATTCAAAGACAAACAGAATTTAGTAGTCTAGAACAGATTATGGTTTGAAAGACCATTGGTCTGCATTGTGAAATTCCAATCGTCTGAATAATCATCCAATTAACTATTTTTGTAATAATGACTAACAACTTTGTATCTGTCTCTGAAGACTTGATATTTACTGTGTCTTATCTCGATTAATACAGATTGAATTTTTGATAGAGTTTATTATAAAGCTGATTCGGTTTTGCTTGTCAATAGGAAATTTGCTTCTCGCTGGTTGTCATTTTTATTGCCATATCCACGTTATTTCATTGTCAATCTTTTTTGTTTCCCTTTTGAAATTTCTGACCATTTTTTGCACTTTATTTTGGCATTTCGTTTTGGAGTTTCCCCCCAGTTATTCCATTTTAAATTCTGCTGCCACCCCTGCAAGTCCTGGCTTTAATGATAAACTGTATCTGGCAGCAAGGCCTCGAATCGGAAGATTGGAGGTTTTGAGGAGCGTAGAATCACCTCTTAATTGCAGTTGTTCCCAGGTTCATCCTCATCCCGGATGGTAGTAACTATTAGGGTCTCTTTTATGGGAAAATAGGGAAAACCCCTAAACATAAAAAAGACAATATGAAAGCATAAAGATACATTTTAGAGTAAAAATACTAGTAACTAGCAGCATGGCCCGGTGTTGCCCGTGCTTGATTCAAAAATCGTACTACTCATACAGCAATCGCTATCAGTTGACTTAAAATATTTTTGCCCTTCCTTGCCTTTAAAGGAGTGCCCTTTGCCGTGCTGATGTTGCTACATGCCTTACTTCTTGCCTATCTCTCACTGCGAATTTTCCTAAGTTCTATACTAAACATTAAATCTGTTACGCAAAAAGAACTAAACAAAATGAACACAAAACGATCAGCTTTAAAAAAAGGACTCGTATCTGGAAAAACCGAATGAAAAAAGAATGTTTATAACAAATACTTTTTCACACCCAACCCAGTTCTGCGGAATCAGAATCAACGTTGAGTTTAAGCAAGCGAATGAGCCAATTGGAGTAAAGTGCCATACAGATTTAAATTTTTCCCACTTGCGACGAATGCAGCTATCGATTTTTTTTGCATGCAAGCATGCTAGTTAACATTTGTGTCAGTCAGCTGTTGGCTCTCACGCTGCACAATAGAATCTTCCTGCCTATTCGTGGCAGCCAGCTATAGGCTCTCACTCTCACCGGTAGAAAATGGCCGCAAACTACATGAAAACTGCCGTAGAAGCATGCAAAAATCGGTTATTTCCACTATCGATGGGAGTTGGGACATCTAAAGTCGGTCTTGACCTTTTCATTAACTTGGAGCATGTGCATGTAAATTTTGGTGCAAATCCGTCGAAAATTGCGGCCGTGCATTCGTTACACACACACACACACACACACATCCTGCCTTTTATGCAAAGAAAATTACCAACACTGCATTTTATAGCGAAATGACCAACAATATATTTTATCTGTTATTGAAGCCATAAAATTGCGTTCAAAATCTTTAGATTTCGGCATTAAATAACCCATAGAGGTTGATATGTCGTTAAACAAATTTTACGGGAAAATTTTTAGCGTTTAGTTTACATTACTGTACATACTACACTTTTAAGCTTGACTATATGTCATTGGTAAAAGTTTTCTTGTTGAGTCTAGCTTTAAGTAACCGTCATTGTTATTCTGAGATTTTCTTTCTTTTTTATGATTTCATTATTTCGTTTTTTAGAAAATAATTGAAAGGAAAATTTAACAATATAAGCCACAAGTTTTCAATATACGCAAACATCCTCGTATTCATGGTTAAAGTCATATACTAGGCTTCTTTTGGTAAAATACCAATGTCATTCCTAGAATCCTGTATATTTTTACTTCTCTAGGTTTTTTATGAGAAACAGATTTACGTTGGCCTTTCTATATTTCTTCACTCGTTACTTCACTCAGCGTACGTTGTACTTTCCGTAAATACGTCCAGAACATCCTCTCTTTATTATGTTATTCTCAAACCTCTTATTTCCTTTTCGTAAAATAAAATCTGTTTTTCTAGGGTTATTCGTACCTTTCTAAGTCTGCTGCTCTTCCAACAAAATCATATTTGCTTTTAATCCTTACGAAATAGACTAGAAACTTCGCTAAAGTGAAGTGATATTTTAAGTTGCGTGTATGCTGTAGCAATAAGCAACGCAAGTCTACGAATTAACTTAAGAAATACTACGTACAATTCCGCTTGAACGTCTGCATTAGTCGTCTGTAATCTCTATCCACAAACTAAATTGTTTGGAAAGTAATGTCTTCTTTGGGGAGACGGAATAAAACCTGTTTAAATTCTGATGCTACTATTGTGCCGTATAATGAAGAACACAAAATTTAATTTTCATAATTAACATTACATATTATTCAACTCCTGAATTTGTCATTTCACACACACACACACACACTCTCTCTCTCTCTCTCTCTCTCTCTCTCTCTCTCTCCTACACACACACATATAAGCACACGCTCACAGTGATCGACAGTAAATGACAAAATTGGGATTTAAATAAATTGTAATGTTAGAGAGTAGCCCCAGTTTCTTATTCAAAATTGAAGCTTACATTCTAGTCTGTGATATGCGAGAGACTGCCAATCTCCTCACTATGGTGGATGTTTATATAAATGTGTATAATACATTTCTTCCCCACGCTTGCAGCCCACGTTCAGCAGGGACGTTCATGTGGTAAGAAATCATCTCTCAGGTAAACAATGTACTTGGTTTTTCTGAAGGGCACTCATTGCAATGTCTGTTCTATTCTGACATGATTAGGGGTAAGACGTATCGTACAAAATATGACAAAATTTAAATTTGTCAAAGGCATCTTCAGCTACAAGTAAATATAAAAACTATGTGAAGCCAATTGTTTGATTTCTCTTTTAAAGAAGCAAGAATTCGAGACCAAAAGATTTTTTCTCTTGAAAGAAAGTCGTTCAATGATGAGAATAAATGAAAATTTGAAACAAACAAAATCCAGTGAATGTAGACTAATAATTTGATTTAAGTTTGTGTTTTTTGTTCTGATTTGAATTGTTATTTTGACGAATGCTAGAACTTCCTTTGACAAAGTTAAAACATTTTTTGTTTTAATATTCTCTCGTCGTTCACCATTAAAAGTGAAAATGAGTTCACCTTTTTTATGAGAATGCCGTTTATTATTTTAAGAGAACACCAAAAGTTTAAGGGCTTGCAGTTTTACCTTGATATTAAAATAGTTTCTTCTATTTACCGTGTGTTTTCAAGAAGTGAACGATCATGGCCTTCCACAACTTCCTATCGTTTGTAGCATTTACTAAGGATTATCCTTTCACAACCACTCTCGGACCCTGTTCTGCCATTCATTTGCACGAGCACATTAGATAATTTGTTTGCTGTTTCTCTCCCGCCATAAATATGTCCAATGACTGTCCCTCATTAACTGTCCTAGAATTTTCAAGTGTTTCTTTCTGATTTCAACAAAGAATAAAAAGAATGAGTTTCATGGTAGGTTTTGTCATTACTGATTATACTTACCATGTTCCTGAAAGAGCGGATTTGTTTGTTTCAACTTATTAATGCCGAATTTTAATTTTCTTGTGAACATTAGTAATTTAATTTACTAAAATATATTGTTGGTAATTTTCCCCCAAAAAATGTATTGCTGGTATTTTCATTTTTAGGAAAATGTATTTTTATACATTCATAGTGTTTTGACCAAAGTTTGTAAGTTAACTATTTGCCGACAATTAGGACGCAAACAGGTGCTATCACCCTGTTCCTGAAAGGTATATTTAGTTTTTTTTTTCATTTAATTGGAATTTTATTTCCGCCCCCTACATCACTTTCCTAACAACTAATATTTTAAGAATTTCAACGAAACTTGATTAAGAAATTCATAAAATAAAGCTTTTAAAATAATCCAAACTTACAGACAACAAATATTTCATTTTTGACCGGTAGTATCTGTCGTAAATTTCTGATGATGTTTTTTGGTAGTGAATCCAATAATTATCTAAAAATATACAGCACAATGGTGAATGCTATGAACATTAAACAAAAAGATGCACCATTGCGTTTTTCGAATCTTCATTATGAATGAACGCTTAAAGAGGTTATTGGGATCTCTAATAGGTTTTACTTGAGTTTTTTTACATTTTAATGGGAAATTTTCGAAGGAATATCTACGTATAGCGTAAGAGAGTATATTTCACTTACGTTCTTCGCATATAAAGAATCAACGTTAGGCTAGAGATTTAAGTGAAATCTGTCGAGCATGAGTATTATTGAAGAGGTTCCCAAGTTGGGTCAGCAGTTAGAAGAGCAGGCAAGTGATCTCAAGTTGTACTATTCTATTTAAAGTACAATCA